CATGCCATTAGAAAATTAAAAATATTTTTTTCATTATTTTTTGCATTTATTGCATATTTATTTGTTTATTTGTTTAGTTTGTACATAAATATATATATATTTGATTATTAGAATAAATGTAAAAATAATGTAAATACACTTTTTATTTTTATTTACTTTCTGAAAATATTTCACACAAAAAATATTCTTTTATTTATTTTATTAAAATATTAAATAAATATTTATTTTTGTATAATACATATCTAGGGTTTAATAAAATATATATATATGATTATTAATATATTTAAGACAAAAATATAAAAATATTTGTTTTTTTTCATTTTATTTAATATTTGATACAAAAAATACCTTTTTCACAATACACTTCATTTTATTTTATTTTTTATAAATAATAAATAAATAGTAGAATTAAATTAGATAATAATACCTTTTATTTAAAAATTAGGGTTTTTCACCCTAAGTTCAAAATACTAAAAAATAAATACATTTTTATTTTCTTTTTCCTTTTACATAAATAATATTTTCTCATACACATAGAAACTTTCTTTTTACATTTCACATATTTATTTAATTTACATTTAATTATGCATTGCAAAATATCCAATTGTTGTAATAATTTAGATTTAAATTCTTGTCAATATCCCCATTTGAACATTTGTACCCCCCTTCCCATATTTGGTCTTGTAATAGCTTAGTAATTTTAATTATGCACTTTATCGCTTTCTAATGATAACATGTTAGAATTAGGGTTTGTATGCGAAAACGATAAAAAAATAGTTTGACCTAATATAAGATAAACAAGCATGAAAATGGACACACAAATCACACTTGCACCCCCTAGGGTATTCCACTTGTTGCCTTCAAATAAATGGGCCATATTGTATGTTGAACATCTTTGGGCAAAGCAACCAGTTTGAATGATCATAGTCCCTCGATAAAACTTTTCAAAACAAACAAAACAAATGATCAAGTCCCTTAGAGGAATTGCCCAAAGACATTTAACGTCGTTACAATTATGGTCTAAACGATGACCCGCGCCTGTCCCTTTCACATCCTAACACAAGGTTGCCCACCAAATATAATGGTGGTGCAAACTTGTTAAAAGGGTTAAAGTATAGCAATAATCTTTTGAGAAATTTAGGAGTAGATAACCTCTTAGTTACTTGAATCAACTTGCAAAACAAAACATTTGCCTAATTTCAAAACCACACAACACTACACTTTCAAAACAACTTTCAAAAACAAATGAAAACCTTTTCAAAAGACATACATCTTTGTATACATCCCCACATGGATCATTGCAAAGGTTGCCACCACATTGGCCTCTTTTCAAAACATTTTCAAAACCCACACACTCAAGCACCATTTAAAACAATTGAAAACAAAAGGCAAGTGATCTAAGCAAGTAACTAAGAGCCCATGGATAACCATGGATAGAAAGGGTGCTAATACCTTCCCTTTCTATAATCTACTCCCCGAACCCAAGAAAACATCTCAAAAGGTTTTTGCTGTGCTTTTTAACCTTTCCTTAGGATAAAATAAAAAGTCGGTGGCGACTCTTGCTAACCGCAACATTTGCGAATACAAACGCAAACCTCAAGTCAGTTCTCCCACCGTATCACACATAGGATTGACAAATGAATTTTGCAGTCAACTGATCAAAAGTCAAATGTACACTGAAAAGTCAAACTTTGACTTTTTGGTCAAAATTAAGTGCCAAGGGTCATAATTCATCAAGATATGTCAAAATGTGAAACTTGTTTACCAAGAAATCAATTTTCCAAATTAGGGTTTTAATTTGAAATTTTTTCATAACTTAGAAAATTTCTAAGTATGGAAATTTTCTTTTTTCCCCCAACTTTCCATAACTTTTTCGATATGATGAAATTGGATTCAAAGAAAACTTACAACATGAAAGTTGTAGTCCTCCATGAAATATACAACTTTGATTCACAAAGTTTTCTCAAAATATGCTTGGATCTCAAGTTATGAATTTGTGAATAAGGGTCCATGAACTAAAAGACTTAGTGAAAATTTGCCCTAATTGAGGCAGGTTTTTTACCTAACTTCATGGGAATTTTTCACCTAGTTCCAAGAGGTATCTCAAAATGAATTTCAAAGATGGATTGTAGAGCATGTTACAAGCTTTCCAAAATGTCCAAGAACTCTCCAAGATCATTTATGGTTAGAGAGAATCGAAGAAGAGAAAATGGAAATTTGTCACTTTTGTTCAAGCCATGTTTACAATGGTTCAAGTTGAAAATCAGATCCTAGCATGCTTGTACCTTGTATTACAGGTCATAATCCATTCTATACTCCATAATTGAATTCTAACTCAATGTATAATGGCTTTATTTTGATCTTTGGAGTATTGTACAAAAGATTAATCCATAAATGGCATAAAATTCACAATACCATTTTGATAAAGCAAGCCTTTTCAACTTTATCAGCCTTGAGCATTGGACTTGTTCTTGTGGTGCAGACAATTTCCACAGGAATTAAGCAAAGCATACCAACTATTATCATCCCTCAAGCTAGCCTGTACAAGCCTTGGGCATAGTCACTTCAACTTTTCTTCAAAAACAAGAAAAGTGGTCAAAAGGTAGAGAACTTGTACATCTGATAAAGGGTGAACTTGGCTTCATTCTAAACAACTTCAGAAACTTGTCACAAGCCAATACACGAATACACAACATCCCAAACACTCTCAAACTCAAAAAACACATTTTTTTGCCCAAACAAGGTAGCTTCTGCAAAACACTAGCCATCTCAATATTTGCTCGTGCGTTTTGCTTTGTAACACATCAAATATCTTCCATACATCCTACCTAAACTATCCAAGCCCCTGTCCTGGTTCTATAAGCCCTATTTCAGACATCACCATTTTCATTTTGGAAGGTTGAAGGTTGACTTCTACAGGGAGTTTCAAGCATCTACAAGGCCAGCTAAGCATTGGAAAAGCTTGAGGGAACTTCAAGGAAGCTCACATGATCTTTAGGCCTCACTCAAAGTCCCCACATTGCCATATCCAAACTCAGCTGAACAAGGTATTTTTCAAATCTCTATCTCCTTATTTAGGCATCCTTAAGTCGCGATTTGTGAAGCAAAAATGTAGTCCTTAACTTGCTGAAGCTGTACATATGCATAGTTGTCATTTATATTAACTGAGTAGTGAGAATTTGAAGCTTGAAGTTCATGGAAAAATTAGGTCAGAAATTAGGGCCACTGAAATTCTCCCTGGTTTATTTAGAGTTAGGTCACAAACTTTATATCACTGGAATCGTGAGATCATAAGCTACATGTTTTGTGTTATGAGTTTTTGCTTTTGTGCACGTATGTGAGAGTTGCAGGTTTGTACATGGGACGCACGCAAGCTGAAGGACAGGGACGATCTGAGCTGTCTTGGGCTTTTTTGGCGCTTCTGGCCTTTTTGGATTTGATTTCCACACCCCCTGTTTTGCTTTTTCACCCCCCTGCTTCATTTTTTATATTTTTGCATATTTTCTTGCATATTTTATATTTTTGACTTGCATTTATTTTTCTAAACATTAAAAATGACAAAAATAATTTTCTTAATTTTTTGCAATTTTATTTTATTTTTATTTTTTTCACATATAAAATAGTTTTATTTTAATATATAGAACTTTATTTTCTTAAACAATTTGCAAATACAATTTAAAAATATCATACATTTTTATTTTTATTATTCATACACATAAAATATTATTTCCACATATACTTTAATTTTTAATATTTGTAAATATTTTTATTTATTTTTTCTTGTACATAAATGAATAAAATAAATGATATAGAATATATTTTCTTTTAAATCAAAAAAATTAGGGTTTCCCCTTTCAAAAATAATAATATTATTTTTAGGACTTAAATAATTTATTTTTCTCATACATAAAATAAATACAAAACATTTTGCATAAATATATTTTTATTTGCATATTTAAATAATTGTATGTTTATTTATTTATTGCATATTAATTCAATTGGGTTGTAATAATTTTTAGGGTTTTATTTTGAGCAATATCCCCCATTCAAAACTTGCACCCCCCTTCCATAATAATTGTTGTAATAGCTTAGATTTACTTTACGCAATTTATCGCATTATATACATGTTAGTAAACTAGGGTTTTGTATGATAAGACAAAAAATCAAACAAATAGACAAGACCTAACACAAGACAAAATGCATGAAAAATGACAACACATTTCACACAAGCACCCCTAGGGTTTCACCCACTTGGTTGCCTAATTTAAATGGCCATGGTATGCATGCAAAGTATCTTGGCAAAACAAAACAAAACAAAACAAAACAAAGCAAAAGAACATAGTCCCTCGATGACGCTAGACAAGGTTGCCTAAAAAAATGATCTTAGTCCCTCAAAATGCTAAAGATACTTGGCACCATTGTTATCATGGTCATACGATGACCCACTCCCGTCCCGTTTAACATCCAAAGATAGGGTTGTCTACCAAAGCAATGGTAAATCAACAATATCATAGGAATAAAAATGTACAAGAAAGACTTTTTGAGTAGGTAGATAGCTTCTAGTTACTTGATCATTTCAAAACAATCCTTGCTATATTCAAACAAACACACACACATTTTTAAAACATTTCCAAACAACTTTCAAAACATTGAAACATTTTTCGAAAGACAAACATCTTTATATACATTCTTACAAACAAGAATCATTACAAAGATTGCCTAAACGATGGCCTCTTTTCAAAATACTTTTAAAACCACACAAAGCACCATTTCAAACAATTTCAAAAGCAAAGCAAGTGATCTAAACAAGTAACTAAGAGCCCATGGAAAACCATTAATGAAAAGGGTGCTAGCACCTTCCCTTTTCATAATATACCCCCCGAACTCAAGAAAACATCTCAAAGGTCTTTCCTGTGCTTTTTACCTTTCCTTTTGGATAAAATAAAAGTCGGTGGCGACTCTTGCTAACCGCAACATTTGTGAACACAAAACGCAAAACCTCAAGTCAGTTCTCCCACCGCATCACAGTGTGTTTCACCAATTCCTCTTTTCTCAAATATAATTCCATCTTCTAGCATAGCTGTGTAACTGACAGTAACATTTGCACCCTCGTTGGCTGTGAAAGCACCCTCTCTTTCTTTCAAAATTTTCTTAATCACCATAGAGTCACCAGTAACATTTAATACAGGCTTTAAGGACACCGATTCAATATTAATATGCAACATTGAGTCTGGGGGAATTGAATGGAAACCACTTCCAGCTTCTCTCCCTGTCTCCCCAAAGGCATATTAAAGTTGAAAAATAATGCATCCTTCTCTCTCTTGGTCATAGTCATGATCACTTTCGGAAATCTAGGAAGAAGATGACCATCATTTACATAGAATTCAAGTCCCACTTCCAGTGTTTCTACAACAACAGTTCCATCTACTGGTGTTATCTGATACTTCACAAGAACTTCATCAAGATCACTGGGTTGATCATTCCCTTTCCCCTTCTCGATAATTTTCTTGATAATTCCACCATCTTTGCAAACATCCACTACTGTTATCCAAGAAATCAGTTCCACTTCAAACTGCACAACCGAGTTGGTGTCTCATGGAATGCTTCCAGACTCAGCAGCAGGTAATGTAAACAATGCCACCTCTCCTTTCTTCATGGTGTCAATCCCATCATCCAATCCAGCATAGACTTCACCTATAGAAACACTTTGTGCAAGGTAACAATCTTGATAATAATGCAAATCGCTCCAATCAGGGCCTCTCTGTTTCAACACCTCTACGATAAAGAATTTGGCAACATCTCAATCTGGCATTTCATCAAACTGATAGTGAGTTGGTTCAAGTGGCAGTAGTGAGACTGGGGCCGTGATTGAATCAAGTGGCTTTGGGGTAATGATGAACTTGACATCATCGTTTAAACCTATGTGTTTAAAATGAAACTCATTCACACAATAAGGGAAACAAAATTGTTGTTGCTTCAAATTTGGTAGGGGATTCTAAACCCTTTCACTAACAACTCGAGATTCTGCAACAAAATCTTCATGAAAGGAAGTTTTCTTGATGAATTTCATTGATTCCAGATCTTCAAGCTTCACATTATATTCAAATGATGATGTGAAAATTATTCTTATCTCAACCTGCTCAACTACCTCTTTTAGCTTGGAAATTTCAGTAATCCTACCAACTTTTCTCCCATCTTCTAAGAGCTTGAGTGAAGTAACATTTTTCAAAATTGTTATTTCTCTTAAATTGTGACTGGCATACATTTTAGTAAAATAAACTTGGAAGCAACATGTTGAATAAGATGTTCCAACTTGCAGTGTTCAACATGTCGAATAAGATGTCCCAACCAGGAGGATAAGACATTGGGTCTGCAACATTTGACAATTATGTTTCAGCTAATTTGTTAGTTACTGAATATTCAGAGAATATTTACTTAACTTATATGGCGTCTAAGATTGGCAAAATCAGAGATTCTATGTTATTTTTCGAAGATATACAAAGTTTCTAAATATGAAGACATTTTAGGAAACTAATGATTGAAGACCTATTTTCTTGGAGAAGAATTTGTAGACTTTGTGCAGCCTCACTACTATGTTTTGAAGCCCAACCCAGTCCATAATAATGTTATAAACAGACTAGTGTATACCTAGTATTAGGTGTAACTTACATGTGTGTTTTGTTAGGGTTTTTAGAATCCTTATTTTTGAGTTGTAAGTTCTGTGTCATATGTTCATAAGATTTTAAGCATTGAACATTTGTATGTCAGATTCTCATAAGTTGTTAATAATTAAGTATTTGTGTGCCAATTCTCATAAGCTTTTAAGCATTGAGTTTTGTGTGTCTTGGAAGAGTGACTTCTAGTTTTATTCACTACTTGTGTTTAGAGTTGCTCCAATTACTGAGTGTAATTGAAGAGGGATTTGATGAGGGCCTCATACCTAGGTGTGTCTCTGGTAGAAGTTAAGCAAAGGGTAGTGATTAAGTGTGTAGGCTGTAAACTGGGATGTTTGTTATGAGGTCTACGAATTGATACTATCTAGTTAATTTCGTCCCTGGCTTGGTAACCCCCAGAGTAGGAAAGTTGTTCCGAACTGGGTAAACATATATGTGTGTTCTTTATATTCAACACTGCTTAGTTTGTTCATATATCTCAATGTTTGTTGTACCCACCAATTTGCCCTCTCATTTTATCAAGATTTCCCCTCACAAGACTCTTTGGACTCAAGACCAAGCTAGGGTTCGCTCTGCTTAAGACATCTCCTTGCACTGTTGACCTGAAATTAGGGTTTGAGTTTGCAGAAGGATTTTTGGACTTTCAATGCTTCATGTGACTTTCATACTTCATGTTGGACTTATAAGATTGCCCATACCAAGTTTCAAGCCTTGAATCAAATTTTTGCCCAGTCAATTGGACAGTTGACCTAAAAATCAGCTGTATTAGGGAAAAGGTCAACTGTGGCCAATTTACAGTCAAAACTCATAATTTTTTATCCACATCAACATTATAGACTCATATGAACCATTTGATCAAGTTTGGACCACAACTCCTCAAGAAATTTGATCAGATCACCAAAAGGGCAAAATGGTCATTTTTAGGGTTTTGACTGCAGAAGGGCAATTTCTGATTTTTTACCTAGCCAATGGCAAATTGGGTTCAAGAATGGTTTCAAGGACTCAAAGGCATCATCTTGACCTAATCACATGGTTCAAAAGATCTCAAATGCATTGGATTGACAGATGAATTTTCCAGTCAACTGATCAAAAATCAACTGTACACTGAAAAGTCAAACTTTGACTTTTTGGTCAAAATCAAGTGCCAAGGGTCATTTTTCATCAAGATATGTCAAAACATGAAACTTGTTCACCAAGAAACCTAATTTTGAAAATTAGGGTTTAAAATGGAAAATTTTCATAACTTAGAAATTTTCTAAGTTATGAAAATTTCTTATTTTTTTCCAACTTTTCCCAACTTTTTCACCATGATGCAATTGGATTCAAAGAAAACTTCCAACATGAAAGTTGTAGTCCTCCACAAAATCTACAACTTTTATTAACAAAGTTTTCCCAAAAGATTCTTGGATCTCAAGTTATGGTTTTGTGAATAGGGGTCCAAAAACTTTCTAACTTAGTGAAATTTTGCCCTAGTTTAGGCAGGATTTTGACCTATCTTCATGGCAACTTTTCACATAGTTCCAAGTGTAATCTCAAAATGCATTTCAAATATGGATTGTAGGGCATGTTACAAGATTTCCAAAATGTCTAAGAACTCTCCAAGATCATTTGTGGTTAGGGAGAATCGAAGGATTGAAAATGGCAAATCATCACTTTTGGCCAAGGCATTTTGCACATTGCTACAACTTGCAAACCTGTCCAAACCATGTCTGTACTTGTTTTACAGGTCTTAAACCTTTCCAAACTCATAAATTAAATGCAAACACATTGGATTAAGGCTTTATTTTGAGCTTTAGAGCATTGTACATGGAATTAATCTAAAAATGGAAAAAAGGCAACATTGCCACTTTGATAAAGCATGCTTTATGTCAAGTTGTTTATCTTGAGCCATGGACCAAGCCTTTTGCTGCAAACAAAGTTCACTAATATCAGGAAATTGGTACCAACTATGTGCAGTCCCTAAGCTAGCCTGTATAGGCCCTTGAGCATTGTCATTTCACTTTTGCTTCAAAAGCAAGAAAGTGTGCAAAAACTCCACAACTCTTCAATCTGATAAAACCAAACTCTGTGCACATTTCAAACGACTTCAACACATTATCTCAAGCCAGAAACACGAGCTACAAGTCTCCCAAACACCCTAAAACACTAAAACACTAACTTTTTCCCAAAACAGGGCAAGCCCTACAGAACTCAAGCCACCTTCACATTGCCTCATGCGTTTTGTCCCAAACCAAAACAAAAAGATCATAGTCCCTCGATGGTATGCATGCTAGGTATCTTGGCAAAACAAAATCAAAACAAAAAGATCATAGTCCCTCGATGATGCTATCTTGGTTGCATATACAAAAATGATCTAGTCCTTCAAAAACTTGCTAAGATACTTGGCACAATTGCTATCATGGTCATACGATGACCCACACTCATCCCGTTTAAAATCCAAACACAAGGTTGTTTACCAAATACAATGGTAAAACAACAATGTCAAAGGGTTAAAAATGTGTAGGAAAGATCTTTGAGTAGGGTAGACAACTCCTAGTTACTTGATCAAACTTGCAAACCATCCTTGCTATTTTCAAAAACACACAACACAATTTCAAAACATTTTCCCATAACAAACTTTCAAACATTGAAACATTTTTCAAAAGACAAACACCTTTGTATACATTCAAACAAGAATCATTACAAAGGTTGCCTAAACAAAGGCATCTTTTCAAAATACTTTCAAAACCACACACAAAGCACCATTTCAAACAATTGAAAAGCAAAAGCAAGTGATCTAAACAAGTAACTAAGAGCCCATGGAAAACCATGGATGAAAAGGGTGCTAGCACCTTCCCTTTTCATAATCTACCCCCCGAACCCAAGAAAACATCTCAAAGGTCTTTCCTGTGCTTTTTGACCTTTCCTTTGGATAAAATAAAAAGTCAGTGGCGACTCTTGCTAAACCGAAACATTTGCGAACACAAACGCAAAACCTCAAGTCAGTTCTCCCACCGCATCACAAAACTGGTGACTCTGCTAGGGAAAATCTAAAAGCGGGGTTACCTTAGGGTTTTAGATCACCTTTACATGCTTATCTTGTTTGACTTGATTGCTTTACATTTGGTTCTATTGTTTGGGTTTGAATCCTCTACCCGGATTTGGGAAACATTCATAGGTAAATAACAATAGCTTGTGGAAACTGTGCGGGGTATACCGACATGGTTTAAGCAATAGCTATATTAGTGCGACATATTTGTGGGTACCGGTAGCCTTTGAGTTAATCAAAGAGAATACGGGGCCGTTGAGTGATGTCATAAAGCACTAATGGACTTTTAGAACCTTTACTTGACCATCTTGGCCTTTTTAGGGATAACGAGATAACCGGCTTTGGTGCAGTCCGAAGTTGGTAGATACTTGATACTACACTCATTGAGGGTTGTTTTCTTGGAATATTTAGGTCGCTAGTAAAGTGGCTAAACTGAAACAATGAACACAGAAAATAATCCAGTGATATTGAGCTCCTTAGAACCCGATTACTATTTATAGGACAGGTTGAGCCAACTAAACTTCAAGAGGGTACTTACCTATGAAACCCCATGCAAGTCTGAAACTAGGAACTTGTGTGATTTGTTTGTACATATATACTTGTGCATAACATCATGGACATCATGAAGCATCATATGCATCCACTAACCATTTTAAGGGTTTGGATCTTCATCTTTGTTCCTGTTTTGTAGGTAATGGATTCACTTCGCAGGAAAACTATTCAGGTCAACCTTGTGAGAATTCCTCCTTAACTCAAGGAGCTAGCTTCAAGGATTCCTGAGAATTATCCATTCACCGAGAGACATGGTCGTCTTCTCAACTTAGTCAACACCAACACTGAGGAAGACATGGTGAAAGTTCTCTTCCAGTTCTTTGACCCCCTACACCACTGCTTCACATTTCCTGATTACCAACTTGTGCCTACTTTGGAGGAATTTTCTCAAATCCTGAGGATTCCTATTCTCCATCAACTACCCTACAACGGTATGGAAATAGATCCAAAGCCTGAAGATGTTGCTCAAGCCTTACACTTGAAACCATCTGATATCATAGGTTATTGGGAAACCAGAAGTGGTGTCAAGGGTTTCTTGGCAAAGTTTCTGTTTGAGAAGGCCCAAAGCTGCTGGAATTCATTGGACTTACAAGCTTTTGAGGAGATTGTAGCTCTTCTCATCTATGGGATGGTCTTGTTCCCAAACCCTGACTAGCTTATAGATGTGAGTGCTGTCAAAATTTTCATGGCTCGCAACCTGGTGCCTACATTGCTTGGGGATATCCTCCACTCATTTCAAACTCGAACAATGAGGAAAAGAGGTGTTCTCATGTGCTGTACTCCTCTACTGGCAAGGTGGTTTATTTCTCACCTTCCCCAATCAGTTTTAAAGAATGAGCAGGGTTTAAGGTGGTCACAACGATTGACGACTCTTACATATTCAGATGTTCATTGGTGTTCTCGATCTAGAGAAAATGTTATCATCATTGACATTGTGGGGA